AAAAAAGCTGAGGCAGGAGGGCTGCTGGAGCCCAGGAGTCCAGTGCCAGCCGAGGCAACATGATGACATTTTGTCTCAAGAAAACTGAAGACAAGACAGTGCTGGCACCTGTCCGTCAATAAGAGCGTACAGCAAAGAGACAATGATAAAGCTCTGCTCCGCTGCGGACACGGCTCTGCTGCTGCATTTTTAGTTTTGTGGTCAGCTTCCACTCAAAATACACTGCTACACTTCTAACTTTAAATACCCCAGAATAGAGAGAATCTTATCCTGAGTCCCATGTACCTACCAAGTAACTTTAGCAATTATGATCATAGAAATTAGGTTTCATTTATAATCCCTCCCCTTAGATTTTAAAGCATATCATGAATTATATTCATTTCACCAGAAAGAATCCTGCCCTGTATTGATTGCAAATTGTTTTCTTTTTAAAATAATTATAAATAAAATAAAATAACAGGGAAGTGTTGATACATACAACCTAGAAAAACATTGAGAATTATGCCTACTTAAAAGCCAGTTTCCAACAGCACAATGTATGTCTTATATTTATACAATCTCAAAAGATAAAATTATAGAAAGAGTGGGGTTGCCAGGGGCTACGAATATGAGTGGATCCAGCTACAAAAAGGTAAGAGAGATCTGTCGATAAGATGTGGTAAGATGTCTAGTATCCCAAGTGCATTCTCATGCTGGCTGCACTCTTTTATCCGTTTTTTAAAGAGCCCTCAAGAAAAGTCCTTGGGGTCCTTCCTTATTTCTTACAATAGCATGTTTCTTAAAGTAATCTCACATTTAAATGCCCACAACTCAGCAATTTTCCCTAATTATCCCCTCAATTTGAACTCCTCCAGCTGGTCAACACACATACCCTTACAGGGGCTCAATTCAGATGCCAATCAATTCTAAATACAACCTACTTCTTCTGCCTCAGTGGCCTGCAGTGCTCAGGAAACGGCCAGATGCAGTAGCATAGACCCAAGTCCTTAAGAGGCCTAAGAGTCCATAAAATGAGAAATAGTCTCTCCTGATGTCACTGGCTGTGGTGGTTTGCATGATAATGGCCCCCATAGGCTCATAGGAAGTGGCACTATTTGAAAGGATTAGGCCACAGTGGCCTTGTTGAAGGAAGAATGTCACTGGGGGTGGGCTTTGAGGTTTCAAAAGTTCAAGCCAGACTCAATGTCTTGCTCTCCCTGCTGCCTGCTGATCCAGATGTAGAGCTCTCAGCTACTCTGTAGCTCCATGTCTGTCTACAGCCAAGCTCCCTGCCATCATAATGGACTAAACCTCTGAAAGTGTAAAAAGCCCCAATCAAGTGCTTTCTTTTGTAAGACTTGCATTGGTCATGTCTTTTCACAGCAATACAACATAGGCTAAGACACTGCCCTTCCTCTTGACCATGAAGAAACAGTATCTTTCCCTGCATTTGGGGACCTGCCTGCTGGGAGCAACCAGGTGCATCAGGACGAAGACACAGCATTTCCCTGAGTTGAAATCATCCCATGTAATGCTGGAGAGGGTGTTCTAAATCTAGAGGAATGTCAGCACTTGGCTAGCAGATCTACCTCTGCCCTGGTCTAGGTGACATCCAGTGAGCATCGTGGTCACTTCTACTTCTTATGGGTTCAAGGGCATGAATCACTTGCAGGGCTGGCACCCCAGCTGACAGAGCCATGAGAAGTCAGATGAAGACTCAGAAAGATCACCTGCAACCTCCTAAATTTCCAATTATTTTTCTGTTCCTCTTTTATAGAATCCCCTTCTTAATTTCTTAAATCTAACGAAATACATGTGTGTATTTCTAGTCCATAGTTGACTTCCCTGAGGTCAGGTTTTTGTTTTGTTTGTAAGTTATTAGTGTTTTAACTGTTTCTTTAACAATATTGGTTCCACTCACTGATCTAATTCTTAATTAAGAACAGAATAGATTGACAGGAGTTTCCTGTGTGCTCTAGCTCAGTCTGCCTACTGTATGGAAAATTTCCTCGGGAACGTCCTGGAGGGTCAGGTGGGGTCAAGGCAGTGCAGCACTAGAGTGTTTCAGTTGTTAGGTTTGGTGTTAGGGCAAGAGTTGGCTGTTAAGACTGTGGGAATTTACAGATGCCAGAATGGGGCTTTAACCTAGATGATAACATCTGTTCTGAACATCAGGGCGGGAAAGAGGGATAGCATGCCAACTGGTGCAGACGGTTCCATATATAAGGCTTCAATTAATCTTTTTCTCAGTACCTCTTCTCACGCTTCCCGTCCATTGTACCTGCCAATTCTAGGCCAGAGTCTCTTGGGATTCCCACAAGCAGGCTGGTTCCCAGATCCCTCTAGTTTCTTCCCTAGCACATTCTGAACTGTAAATCTTTCCACCTCTTCTATCCGTCAACATGTTCCCATCTGCCTTGTCTTCTAGAAATTCATTGAAGGCTGTCATCTGTTGCTTAACACCCTTTCTCATTGCTATTCTACCTCTATTGCTTAAATTACATTAATCCAGCAGGGTCCTGGAAGGGATTAGAGCAATCTAATCTTTAGTTTTGCTAAATTGTCTGGCCACTGATTTGCTAGGAAATATATATGCATTATTTGTAACTGTGTTTCTTAAAGCAATAGATTAAAATAAAAATCTATTTCTTTGCAACAAGTGGTATGCATACCATTGACTGAACGCAAAACATACTTTTTTTTCCCCTCCCTTTGGTTTTTTGAGACAGGGTTTCTCTGTGTAGTTTTGGTACCTGTCTTGGAACTCACTCTGTAGACCAGGCTGGCCTCGAACTCACAGAGATTCACCTGGCTCTGCCTCCTGAGTGCTGGGATTAAAGGTGTGCAGCACCACCACCTGGCCCACAAACACACTTTTAAAGCAAGGTAATTTTTCAGCATTTCCCCCTAAGCCTAAAAGGGAAAATAAAGCAGGAAAACTGTTTCTTCTGAATTTGGTGACTCAGGTTTATCTGTGCCAATTAACAAGACATAGTTGCTTGTTTCATGGAATAAGAGGAAGATCATGGGATATTTTGTGTGGGTTTCCTGAGAGGTGACACTAATTTTGGAAATGTTGACTTTTAAGGGCTTGGAATAGGTGGCTTTAGAAGGTGTGTCCAATAGGCAGCTGGACATAGACTTACGAATCAAGAAGACTTGATTTAAAAACTTGATCATTAATAAGCTGCTGCATATGAAGTCACCACAAAACAAAGATTTACTGCCCTTGTACAAAGTAGAATTCTAGGGAATGTATATGATAATAATATGTGCAAGAAAAAAAATCAACTTTTTTGTTTGTTTGTTTGTGTGTGTGACGGGGTTTCTCTGTGTAGCCCTGGCTGTCCTGGAACTTGCACTGTAGACCAGGCTGGCCTCAAACTCACAGAGATCTGCCTGCCTCTGCCTTCTGGTGCTGAGATTAAAGGCGTGTGCCACCACCGCCTGGCGAAAAATCAACTTTTAATAGGTATTGCAAGTAAGTGTTCTATTAGGTCAAATGCTGCTGAGATGTCTATTGAGAATAACGCTATACAGTTTGTACTGATCTTAGTAACTAAATGACCATATTTATTGGAAAAATGATTCAGGAAAAGTGAACTCTGAGAATGGATTTCAGGTAACATCTGAAGCCATGACTCTAGATGGAACAAGCCCACACCTGTGTCTCGGCAGTGGTATTAGATGGCAGGAGGAAGTAACCTGGAGCTGAAACTTTGGCAAGCAGACAAGGCAGATGAAAAGGACACAGAATGGATGCAGCAGTTCCAGGTGTTCAGGACAAATTAGGAAACGTAAAATTATGGATATCTGGAAGCTTAGGAGTAGCCAGAGGGCCAGGATATCATTATTGGCAGAATGGATACATAATTAAGGGACTGAGTAAAGTGGATGGACACAGACTGAGGTCAGAGAGGAAGCTAAGCGAGTATTTCTAGACAGGGGACGGTGTGAAGTACTAACAAGCAGCAGGCAGCAGAGGGAATTACTATGGCTTAGGTGGCCTCCGAGGAGGACAGTCGGGATCAATAGAATGCCAAGGGTAAGGGAACGGGGTAAAGACACTGGGTCAGCTAAGAACGCAGACAGCGAGGCACTTTCCAGATGGCTTCCAGTCTTTTCTTTAGATACAGAAGTGACTCTGGCTAGAAGTCCAAGTAGTGGTTGGCTCATTCATCTCTTGGAGATAACCAGGCACACACAGGCAAAGTGAAGCACCCACGACTAGTTACAAGGAGAGTTCAGAGATGCAGGGGTTGAGGGAACCCTAAGTGTCAGGGCTGCTAACATGATGCTGGCACAGTGCAGCTTCACACTCTGGAGCAGCAGAGGGTGAAGGAGGCAAGTGAACCCCGTCACAGAAGATTGGTCCTGCAGCCGTTTATTTGTGACATTTTGTCACTCTCACAAATAACAGCAAAATTTGATGAGTATGTGCTTAAAAAATTGGCTCAAGAGTGGCCTGAGCCGACCCGGGAGATCTGTTAAAAGCAAGTAGAATGAAAACAAACTTAGCACTGACTATTTCTCAGTTAACCAAGCCCAGAAGCCAATCCTGAAAGAGCAGACCTGAAACTGGAGTCAACCTGTGTTCTGGACCACGGCTCTCAAAGAGACTAAACAAGAAAGTAACTAGTGAAGATACCCATGCAATTTTCTTCTAAGGATCATAAGCATTAACAAAGAAGATGTGCATATCCATGAAGAATTTTAAGAGCTGGGCATGAAACATATTCTCAGCACGGGGAGGTTGAACCTGGGCTACATAGTGAAACGGGGGGAAAATGTAGAATAATTAAGAGAAGTAATTCCGTGTGTCTCCTGCTTCCTGGGCTGGATACACAGACATGAAGCCGATAGAGAACTGCTCTCAGGGAATTAGCAGAGCTACTTCAGTGCTTCCTTTATCAGACAATGAAGAAATCCACATGCCACTGTTTCTATGCTTCGGTTACCGTACAATGAAGAAATGTACTACACCATATAAACGAAATTGTGAAAAGCATCCTTACCGGTTTCTTTCCAGGCAGTGCTTTGCTCGTACATTTTCTTTCTTGAGATTTCTTCTTGTTCATGTTCTTCTCTTTACAGGGTTCAGCTCCTGTAGGAGATGAGTTGCAAACATCCTCTTCTGCAGAACTCATCAACTGCTACGACGGAAATCATAGTAAGGACATGGAGTCACCTTCCACTGCACGGCAGGTTTCACTCTAGCTTTTCTTCCATCCGGCTGCTCCCCACCTTCAGTGCTCCCCACCTTCAGTGCTCAGGATTAAAATTCCCCCTGGATTCACATCTATCACTGAGCCACACCTCCTATCTACTTTTACCATCTTACATCCCATTGCTTCTTAATGTACAAGTTCCATTAGAAGTACATTAACCAAATTAAAAGAAGGAACTAACTACCATTCTCTAACTTATCAAGCATGGAATCAGAAGGATTATTATATTAGGAAGAAAAAAACGATTTAAGAAAGAACTAGTGGCTTATTTGTCAAATACTTACAAAGAAATATCAACTTAGTATTTAACTGTTATTAGCTTATAACAAGTCATGAACTGTAATTAGGCTACAATATAGGATTTTCATCCAATCAGACAGGTGAACGTCCAATAATAGTATAGGTATGCTTATGTTTATAAGGCTATAGAGAAAATCCAAGTACATGTAACTTATGACCAAAACAAAAGACAAGTAGCCAACGGAAGTGATGCTTATTGCTGTCAGCTGAATGTTACCATAGAAGAAAAACTAATGCATAGTTTAAGAAGGCATATATTCATGTTACTTTCTGGCTCTTAATTATATATGGATCTTCTCCACATTTTCAATAAAATCCATTGTCATACTGATCTAAACTAAGCTAACAAGTAGACTGCCTTCCGTAGTAACACAATTCTGAAGGGAAGCTCTTGTTCTAATGGATTTTCTTCTAATAGAATTAAAATCAAACCAGCAAGACATTAGTCTGGGTTACACACTGAGTGAGACAAAGTATTAATTCTTTTAGTGTTTGTTTTTTCGAGACAGGGTTTCTCTGTGTAGTTCTGGAGCTCAGTTTGGAAACCAGGCTGGCCTTGAACTCACAGAGATCTGTCTGCCACTGCTGCCTCCTGAGTAAAGGTGTGTAGTACCACCACTGCCCGGCGCAAGTATTAATTCCTAACAGCACTGATCAAATCAAGATTTTCTTCATTATCATGAAGATTTAATATAAGTATTTACCTTTCTTCTGTGAGAAGTCCGTGTTGGCCTACCAACACTGTAGTTTCTTTCCTCATGGTTCTTTAAAGAACCGCAAGTGTCTGTGCCTATATCAAGAAACAAGTAAAATTAGGCTCTTAGCATAAAACTAACACGAGTCAGAGGGTTAAAGAACTGCATAGTGTCTTTTGAATCATTGTTGCTTTTAATATCATATCTAGACACAAATAATGAACAAGAGCAATGAAAGGGATCCAGAACAATCCGTAGACTTTCCATTACTGACTGTAACAGAATGAGTGCAATGAGAACACACACATTAAGGGAACACTTAACTGCCAACCTTAGACGTGTCTCATGTTTTTTAATGGCATCAATGAAGGAGTGTAATATGTTCAGAGCTTGGAACATAACAGACTATAGCCATTTAACCTGCAAGTCAGTAATTTACGGCTTTGGACTCTATGCTCACATACCCAAGCTGTATCCACGGGAAGTCATCAAATGATTCAGGAAGGAAGAAAACAGGATAGAGAATGTTTTCTTCACACACACACACACACACACACACACACACACACACACACACGAACATACCAAACTCACACCCACACAAACCCCTGAAACAAAAGACAAAGACACATAAATACCTGGGAGAGTCTCAGGTGATGCAAATGATACCTGGGGTGGTTCTATGTTTTCCTAAGCAAAGGAAACAAGTACAGATTAGATACCCTAAGTTCAGTGAGTATGTAAATGATGGATCCCAAAGGAGAGAATAATGCCTTATTTTGGTAGTAGGAATTATAAGCACAAAATGAAAAGAAAAATCAATAGAAAATGAAAAGGTCTAAGCAAAACAAAGATAACCTGTAAACACTGACTGGTTATCTTCATAATGCAAACATATTGACCAACTGCAATCACCCCAAATAAGGTGTTATATTAATCACTCACAAACTACTTTTCCATTTTTTAAAATCCCACTGTCTAACTTCTACAAAGCAAACTGAAGAAAATCATTGAGAAACACCATCTAGTATTACAATATTTTTCAATGAAATTCATGGTAAGATGGCAAAATAAAGATTTCAAATCCTTGTCACACAATTGCCAGTAAGATAGCAACTATTGTTCATTCATAGATTTAGAATAATTTGAATTCCCCCTTCTTACCAGTTTGCCCATACTTTTTTGATCTTTAATCAGAAATGCTGAATTTCACAAAATGCCTTTTCTGCATGGACTGAGATGATCACATAGCTTTATTTGGAAAAGTGTGCATATAATTAATATTATAGTTTGCTTAAATATGTGGGAGACTTCCTTAAAATTATTACTCTGGGAAAGTTTTAGTCACAATGGGGCTACAGAAACAATGTATTTCTTGACTGACTGTTGATGTCTAATGTGTTTCAAAGATTGTATCTGGTTATGGAAGCTGTTACAGAACAGGATGAAGTTGTTGCTAATCCCCTCTGTCCTTGAAAATATGTTAGGATACAGGAATGTCACCTCTCTCTTTCCTGACAATGGTCATTTGTCTTTACTTTTTTTTTTTTTTAAATTAATCTGACTGAAAGTTTACTAAAATGTGTTTACCACTGTTTTAAAATACATTATAATCCCAGCATTCTGGAGGCAGAGGCAGAGGCAGGCAGAAGATGTCTGTGAGTCTAATGCCAGCCTGGTCTACAGAGCCAGTTCCAGGACAGCCAGGACTACACAGAGAAACCCTGTTTCGGAAAAACAATAACAACAACAAAACAACAACAACAATAAAAAAAAAAAAAAGAAAGAAAGAAAACAAAAAATAAGAGAGATTGAAATGTGACATGTCATTTGGTCTACCTCATAATTTCAAATCATAATTTTTATATAAAAATATGAGGCCTGATAGAAACAAGCTTTTTTTCTATGCTTTTACCCACTTACAAGATTTTCCTCCTTGTCATCAAAATTTGGCTGAACTAACTGTTCATGAACTGGTGACTGCAGGGGACTGGCAGCATTTATATTCCTCTGACGGACAGGTGTGCCTCCTTTACACAATGGAGTATTGGCTGGTAAAGACTCATCAAACACTTCAGGACTTAAGTCCTCTCCAAAGGTAACTCTCTTCCTCTTCCTCAGATTTAGAAAGCCCGGTGATTTACAGTTTTCACTACCTACAGACAATAAATGAGAAAACATTGAAAAAATTAAGCTGCTTTTCTTAGCTAAAATGCATATACTAGAATGTTTGAATATGGTATATTCAGCTGCTGTTTGTATAATAAGATAATTTGTAGAGAAAATGCAAATGGAAGAAAACCATACTTTCAACTAATGGTACCGATTTAAGAAATTTAAAATAAGCTATAATTATTTAAAGTGTTAATAAAATTGGAATATCTAAAGTACTTTAGTTGTACCATTAAGTGGAAATTGATAGGCAAAAGCGATAACTTCTTTTTGTGTTTGTGTGATACTAGGGATTGAGCCTAGGACTTCAATCATGTCAGGCAGAAGATCTGCCACTGAGCCACACCCTCAGCCCAAGATCAGTGAGGTTCTACAAAGACACCTTTCCCTCCCCACTGCTCTCCAATCCCAAGTAATTGCAGAAGCAGTAAAGCATGAACAGGTTGTCAGAAATCTAATAGACTGCCTCTAGTTCTAAAAAGAAAATGATACCCTTAGGTCTAAAAATAATTGTGGATAACACACCTGCTCTTTGTTCTTTGCAATAGTTTGAAGGATCTGGGATTAGATGAGCCCCATCGTCACAGAGGTTGTATTCCTAATGAAAATAAACAATCAAAGGTTTTACTCTTCCCATAACATACAAAGTCATTAAAAATAATGGGACCGTTGAAAATGGTTTTGCAGAGTACCTTTATTTTCTTAACTGTTTTGGCTTAAAACACCATGCTGAGAAGGCCCAAGAAAAAACTAGGTTCTCTTATTTTTTAATATTTTTTGGTATTTATTTTTAAGTGTATGCGTGTTTTGTATGCAAATTCAAAACAACATCCACTTTGCTCTAAATGGTATTATTAAAGTAATCTAGTTTCTCTAGAATACTGTCCTAAGTGACTTAAGCACTGAGAAAACTAAAAACTAAGAAGGAGGCCCAAAGTCACTGGTAAATCTTCATGCCAACTCCCAATCTTAGCTGTGAAAACTACGCCCACATTCTCAAGAGGTGGTCTTTGGTTATTTGGTGGGTTATGGATGTTTATTATCATATAGAATACTGTTACAAATTTAAAGTTTTGTTACACATATATTTTGTATATGTTTCTATTCTTGTTTAAAGGATTTCTGTATACTGATAAAAATTGTCAGGTGTCTGTGGAGGCCAGAAGAGGCCATTTGATCCCCATTGTGAACTGCCACATGGGTGCCGAGAACTGGACCTGGATCTTAACTGTTGAGTCATCTCTCCAGCCCCCTGGCTGTAGTGGGTAGCCATTCCAGCTTTGATCTGGAAGTTCCAACTTCCATTGAGGCTTCAGTAACTGTCATGCCTTCAAAGCAGGGCCAAGAGAGGACCCTGAAGACCTGAGATCCGGATGCTCTCTTGGTTCCTGGATCCTGGACGCTGGAGGTAGACCAAGCAGAGTTCTCCAGAGAACACTGCCGGACTGCGATACACCTTTCCCAGACCCTGTAACCTATCCCTTCACTTGTAAGTTACCCCACAAAATAAACCAAAAAAAAACCTCCCTTTTAACTGCGTGGAGTGGCCTTAATAATATCACCAATACCCGGCTTCTATATTTTATAAACAATATTATAGGCCCAAATTAGAGAACAGAAATCCCTAAGTATGGGTTAAAATAATCCTATTTTTGATCTAGCAAACTAAGGAAGATGTGAGTGCCAAAACTATAGTGTTGTATCAGGCAGATTTCACAACGGTTTGAGCATGAGAATGCACTAAAATAAGACAAGGTAAATGATACTAAGAGGGAGCTTTGTCTCAGCATGGGAACAGCACTTTTAATAATGGAATTACCTGCCTGAATATCTATATTTTTGAGGATGAAACAAGAAAGAAGGTTCTGTCTATGTTTATTGAAAAGATTACAGAGGACGCAATATAAAGGAAGGGATGTTATAAATCCACAGACAGAACAAGCCTTGCAGAAGACAGCCAGGCCTGCAGGCAGGGTCACAGTCCTGGTTAATCACCACCTCCATTTCACCTCACCCAGAACCCCTGCCCAGTCCATGGTTTTGAGTAGTATAACCACCAAGAACAGCACCTGCTCTAAGAATATTCTGCCCAAACAAGACTATCAGCACCCTCCTGAGTTAGTCCTGTCTCCTGACCAGGGAAACACACATTCCATTCTGCTAGAAGCGGCTGATATGTCCAACAAACAATGTACTATCACTGTATACGTGCCAAGGCTGCTGACAGAACAGCTCAGAACATGCTACCTAGTTCCTGTCAACTCCCTCCTGGCTTAGGTTACTGAACTCACAGAAACATGCCTGACTTGAGGTGTTAGACACACATTTGGAATGGATAGGTTACAGACTGAGGCATTCACCAGGAACTAATTTTGCAATGTAATTCATTATAATTTGGATGAATTTTTATACTGATACAGTCTACCTACATTAAATTCTGAATACCAATGTAATATTAATTTAAAATAGACCAATCTCAGAATGCTATTGTGAGTTAAAAAGAAAAACAGTGAGGACATGCATTTCCCTCACCCCAGGGTGACATGTCAACTTCAGTTATTGCCCTGAAGCTCTCCTTTGCGTTAGGAAATGGAACTCTTACCTTGACGTTCTCTGCAAACAGCTTGCCAGGTTTCTTCAATACAGAACGAAGCACAAAGGTCTCAGAGGGAAGGTTGCTGCTCCTGCACACAGGCGTCATTGGGGACCTGATGGCAGGGGATGTGTCGCAGCTCATGTGTGCTGCAGGTATGTCAAGTGGAACAGCAACAACTGATCGTGTGCCCTCTACACAGTCAGCAACTCCAGGTCCTTCAAGGGGAAAGCGAGAGGACATCATCCAAATCTGCTTCTTCTAGGCACAAGATACTCTCACCACACTTGCCAAGATTGTAACACGACATTTAGAAATTCAGTCAGTAAGCCTGGTACTCAGGAGATGGAGGCAGGAGGATGGACAATTTAAGGCAGCCAAGGCTACACAGTGAGAACCTATTTCACAAAACCAAGCACTAGTGGTATAGTTCAGTGGTAGAATACTTAGCTAGCATACACTAAATTCAATCCCTAGCAACGTAAAATGAAAGAAATTCAATCCTAATACTCCCTGCTCAGGGAGGAAACACCAGAGACTTCATTTGGACATGAAGAGAAGACAAAGAAATAGCACTGGCCATACATTTAGTACACATCTAACACAAATAAGGATAAGAGGTTTTGGCTCCCACAGAAATCTGGGACAGAGGGTGGGGGAAAAAAGACCAGGAACGAGCCTTGGAATGGTAATGTACTTTTTCTTAGGATACCTATTACTTGCAACATAAAACCTGAGCCAAAGCCTAATAATGAGCCATTTTACTACTTGAGATGGAGGCCTTTCAATATGTAAACACAGTGAAAGAGGAGATGATGAGGAGAGAGATTATCAACCCAAACAGAAGCTGCCCTGCCAAATGTGCAAGCTTCACATTGGCAAATGGAGGGAGTTCAGTTAAATCGGAAGGAATCTACTCAGGGATGTAGATGCAATCTGACCAAAAAGGAAAAACCCTGTATGACACACACACTAGGACATCATTTGTGCTATATAAAACATGTTATAACCATCTAAAGTAGTGCTTCTCAACCTTCCTAATGCTGTGACTCTTTAATACAGTTCCTCATGCTGTGGGGACCCCCAACCATAAAATTGTTTTCACTGCTACTTCATAATTGTAATTTTCCTACTGCTATGAATTATAATGTAAATATTCTTGGAGACAGAGGTTTGCCAAGGCACAACCCACAGGTTGAGAACCACTGATCTAAATGAAGACCAGCAGCAAGGGAAGGTAGATATTTAAACAGGATTGCTAAGCAGGATGTCATGTAAAGTAGCAGTGCTGAGTCATAGGGCATGGGGGACAGTGAGGCCATCAGGATGCCAGACTCCTGGCACCACAGCACAGGCAAAGACTTACTTGACACGACTTCCAGCCAGAGGAGCAAGAATGCAGGCAGTGGGGAAGGCAAGGGAGACAGCAGGTGCATTATAGTCTTCTTTACCCTACCTACCTACCTACCTACCTACCTACCTAACTAACTAACTAACTACCTAACTACCTAAAACAAAAGTTAAACATAAATCTGTGTCTGTGTCTGGATGTGTGTTAGAGCACGTATGTGCAGGTACCTGTGGAGCCCAGCAGTGCCAGATCTCCTGAAGCAGGAGTCACAGGCAGGTGTGAATCCAATTTGGGTGCTAGGAACCACTGTGAGCCTCTGGAAGATCAGCAGGCGCTCTTTATGGTTGAGCATCTCCTGGGCCCTAACAAAGAATTTCGAACCATCTGACCCATGGGCAGGCTCATCGAATAACTGGCACGCAACACTAGACTGACTACATTGACAAAAGCCCCACTGCTCACAGCAGCCCTTCTTTCCTGTCCATCCCAGCACTTCTGGTAAGATTTGGTGAGGTGCTCAAAAGAACGCTGACCCTTGCTAAGATGTTATCACTGCAGATGGATCGCAGAGTTACCAAGTAAAACGACACTAAGTCTCATGAGAACAAAGCAGAGATCTGCCAAGAAGGTGGCAGTACTTATTTTACCTAGGTGACAAACACAATCTGTCCTTGTACCTTATATACGCAGGCAGAAATCCACCCATCCACCTTAGAATGAAAATTAACATCCAGAGTAGATTCACTACAAAAAAAAAAGGGGCGGTGGTGGTGGAAAGTTCCTTTTGAAGCTAAAGGAAAGCTCCAGAGGGAATTCAGACCATTAAGAGTATAAACAAAGAAAACAAAGAATGAGAGTACAAATGGATCAGAAATAGGGGTGTATGCTCAGTAAATGGAAAAACAATTTCCTCTTTAATTACATGAAACAGTTTATGATTTAAAGCAAAAAACGGTAACATGCATGGAGTCACAACCAAGTAAATGTGTATGTCATCTACTGTGCAAAGGGCTAGAGATGTCATGAGAAGGAAAAAAAGACATCAAGTCACAGGGTGAGTAAACTTGAGTGTTTTATGAACAGCTGTACACAGGACCACTCAAATGACTGAGAAGAATGTGTGCTGGAGTCCCAGAGCAAGAGAAAAAGAGAGAATGAGGTACAGCTTAAAGGACAGTAAACACTAACAAATTAAAACAGAATTCTTTTTTTTTTTTTTTTTTGATAGGGTTTTTCTGTGTAGCTTTGGTTGTCCTGGAACTTGCTTTGTAGACCAGGCTGGCCTTGAATTCACAGAGATCTGTCTGCCTCTGCCTCCCAAGTGCTGGGGTTAAAGATGTGTGCCACCACAACCTGGCTTAAAACAGAATTCTTAAAAAAAAAAAAAAAAATCAAATAAACCAAATGATGGCATTTGGCAAAATAGTAGATGTAAATCAAGTCATATCAGTAGTGACTTGAAACTTGAATGGGCTAAAGCAGGGTGATCTCCACACCTGCTATCACAGTACTTATGACGTATAGGCAGGAGCATTATGAGTTCAGGGTTATCACTGCTATAATAAAAGAACTGCTTTCACTCATTTCAGCTTATAGACACACTCATCATGTCTGTGAAAGGGATGGTGTATGTTTGCACTAAAGAAAAGCTATACTTACCATGTGAAACCTCCATGAGCTCTGGAAGGGGAGCAACCACACATCCAGGCTGGGCTGAACCAATGTCAGATGACTTCTAGGAGAAGAGACAAAAGAATATAAAGACATGTTCTTACTAACAGTACTGTTGATAACACCTTTATGGAGATTTCAATAAACATCGTGGATGACTTGAAAACCCGTTGTTCTGTTGGTCTCTAGCCAGTAAGGGCAAAGTACACAGGGAACTAACCACAGAATACTCACAGCTGCATCCTGAACACTCCACAAAACGATTTTCAATCCTGAAGAAAAGTGTATGTGATTCATTTTTGTTGCCCATTAAAGCCCGGAGAGCTTTGCTACCTGCTACCCTCTAGAGTGGAAATTCTCAAAAGCATAGCCACATTAATTCAGGAATAATTTCTCCTTTGTGATTTATAACCAATGAATCAAAGTTCTGGAAAGAAACAACCACTACTGCTTCTGCCAAACGATCATTTTATATTACCTCAAATAGAGCAGAGGAAACTGGGACCATAAGTAAGTCTGGGATACAAGCGGTTCTTGTGTTACAGGAATCGTAGAGAAGTGTTGTGGGATCACTATGCTATGACCCCCCACCCTTTTTTTACTGTTATCACAATGAATTAGGGTGGGCTAGACGGCTTAAAGAAGTGTCCATTCCCAGCCTAACAACCTGGGCTTCAGTCCTAGAGCCTACATGGTGGGAGCAAGCCCCCCCACAAACTCTCCTCTGACCCCCACATGCACTCCACGTAACTCACCGAAACTAAGGCATCTCTAGTGACTAGCAAACGTGTACTAGGTCAGACATAAACTGGACCTAAGCAACAGAGATAGCCACACTCAAGTTCATCCGTTGGGCTGACAAGATGGCTCAGCAGGCAAGTTGGACGACCAAGTTCAGTCCTCAGAACCTAAAGTGGCAAGAGCCTTCTCCCGAGTGGACCTCCGCCCTCCGCATGCGCACCTGTACCTTTCTTGCCGCCCTCTACACAATTAAAGTGTGAACTAGCTGCACTGTGATGGTGTCAGGAGCCTCGTCTCAGGAATCAAAGCAAACCCTCTGAAGACACAAAGCATGAAGAAGGGGTGATTGGACTGGCTTGGCATCTGCAGCCGCATGAAAGTTCCCGACTTCATTAGCATTCTCTTTCCTACTTTAGTAAAACCAGGCAGGTTTCTGTTCTTCCAGAATCTTGACAGATGTTAGGTTGTCACAATCCACAAAAATTCCTAATGCTACTTGAAACAAGTAGAGGAACAGAGGGGAATTTTAAGAGCCTGCTTCCCAGACTAGGTGGGCAAGGATGAACAGACTTGGACAGGCTCTCCAAGTTTCAGCAACTGATACTCCAGTTGATATCCAAATAACCCGCTCAGGGACCTGTCCTCCCTGGATGGGCAAAAGCCATCTCAGGGTACAACTGAGACCTACAGTCAAACCATCACTATGTAGAACACCTCATGCAGAAGACCTTGGGCTTTATCTTCTCACAAAAGTAGTCAAAAGCAACCAATCTTCCCAAACAGCTTCAAAACCAACTGACAACAATAGTCACACAATTACACATAGGAGGCACACACACTCTTTTAAGAACCAGAGCAGCAGTATGTATGCTAGCAGGAACTAGCATCTCAGGCCCGGACAGTCTCCAACCTGCCTATGCAGAAAACCACAGTTCCGGCTCAATGTGGGAAGCACAATCACCTCAGTAAGATCTACAGAGGAGCCCACAGCACAGGCTTGCTTGGAGAGCGCCTGCACACGAACCGCTTTCCCTTTGGCGCCGCTGAGGAGGTCTTCCGGGCTGCTCTGGGAGGATATTCTCCGCCGCTTTGAAGATGAGTTTACAGGGAACCCAGACTGCTGGTATTCAACAAGACCTTCTTTTTTGGCTATATGTACAAAGCAAAAATAGAAACAAAATGATATGGGGATAAAGACTTTCTTTTACATTTATCATTTAAAATACCATCCACTATAATAACATAATGCCAATTTAGTGTTTGTATGTAAGTCCCCAATGAAATAAAAAACCTGTTAACCCTTTTCACTCAAAAAGGGAAACTAAAGGCGGGTGTGGTGGCTTTCACACTGTGGAAATGAGTCTTTTCTTGTTGTGGAAAATTATCTTTACACACAAAAGTCCACGCCTTCTACTCACTCAAATCGGATGTCTTAGACCCTCGATCTGCTTTTGAGGCTGCAAGACCACCGGCCATCTTCTCGGTTTCCTGTACTGGGTGAAAAGCAGACCGGAAAGCAGCCATCCGCTCTCTTAAAGCACTGGCATGTCGGTACAGTCCTGGGCTGCCCTGTGAAATGCATAAACAGAACATTATAAATCAAACGGCTTCTTAGCTGGGCCTGCCGTCACCAACTCCAAAACAAAGCACACCAAGGCTTATGAAGACAAGGTAGTGTGACAGAGCCTCTTTTCCTCAGAATTACACATTTTCTGTCCGAATAGTCCGTGTGCTGTAGCCATCTCAGTGCGCCTCTGTCCCTGTTGTTTAAGATCGAAGCATGGAAAATTAGCTAAGTGGTTACCCACAGACATATACCCAATATGTTGGTAGGTACTGAGCCAGGCTAACAGAACTTAAAATGGGTAGGAAGTGTTTTTATAGAGGCTCTAAGACAAATGCATCTCTATTTATTTATTTATTTATTTATTTATTTATTTATTTATTTATTTATTTATTTGGGGGGGGCAGAAGGGGTGTAATAAATTACCTGAAAAGGATTATAAAAGTTAAGAACAACCTTGTAACCATCACTAAGACAGTGTCAACAAGACAGGATGAAAGGGAACGAGAAAGCAGTTCAGAACAAACCAACCTCAGGGCTGGAGCGCAAGGAAGAAAAAGGCAGAGGGAGCATCCTGCACTGAAAGGGCCGCACCACGAGCAGCCATGAAGTAAATCGCTGCAGATCAGCACACGGGGCCTGGTGCACAGATGCTCTCCCCCCTGGGAGACCGGACAAGACAAGGATGCCTGACCGCTCTGTTCCAGCACACACTTCTGATAGCACTCCTACCTCTTCCTGGCTAACGCCCGAACTTTGTAAGATCTGGAAGACACTCACTTCCTTAGGGCTGAAAGCCAACCATTCACTTCAGACACAAACACAGCAAGCCCAGGAGCTTTTAGAAACCCTGCCCATGAGGTTCTACACAAAGATAAAAATGAATTTATACTACTAGATACTAGATAAAGCTAATGACATAAAACTATAAAGTTCTGTTCATATAAAAAATAAACTACCGATCAAGCACTTTATCCAGGCTGCTTTTTCTTTTTTCTTGGGCCACTAACATTTCTCCTAATAAGGACCGTGGCAATTTTAACATTCTAACCTATGGGCAAAAGGAAGGGGAAAAAAACTACCTCCCTTTACGATATCATACGGAGGAAAAGTTGTTAAAATCCTGAAGTCATGTTTGATGATCTGCTCTCATATTTGATTCTATCCCTAGTTAAGCACAGTCACAAGACAAACTGCCTACTACATAATAGAGGAACATTTCAAACTGAAATGTACTTGATGATGTAAACCTTTATGACATAAACAGCAGCACATACTATTCCCAACAGGCTTGTGGGCAACTCACCCATGTAACAAAGATTATCTTAAAGGCACCCAAACTATCTTGAAAGTGCCTTTCTGTGACATTATTTGAATATGTCAGGGCTGGTTTACTATCCCAGGAACTCGGAGCACTTAGGAAGGCCTAAACTAAGTTACCCTAATTAAACCTGTTCCCTATGGAGGAAGAGAACAATGTTCATGAAGAAAGAAACGAAAACGTTGTCATGCCTTTGTCTCATGAACTGCATTGGTGTTGCTAAGTCCCATTCTTTCCAGGTATAGAAACTGTTCCAGGTGCTTAAGGCTTTGGGGTAGGGTTGGTGGGTGGGGATGGGAGTGGAGTGATACCCCAGAATGAGGTTTAAGAACATACTCGTGTTATGGAGAGAGCACCAGTGTGGCTGAGCCGAGTAATGTGTTGCTTTGGCTATTTAGGAAAGGAAGATCCCAAGTGGCATTTGAATTGAAGCCACAATGAAAACTGTTTTAACACCAAGGGAACAAGGCATATAGCAAAAAAAAAAAAAAAAAAGAGCAGAAGCCCTCTGGAACAATGGGAAGAAAGCAAGTCTGCGTGTCCACTGACTGGAGGAGGCCAGGATGAGGCCACAAGTACACAGGACTCAGGCCAGTGGGACAGAGAGACTTCAAACAAGTCGCTGGGTTTTGGTTTCAATAGGAAACGTGGGAAGCTTAAAGCAACAGAGGCCACGACGTCATTCATTCTAAAACACCTTTCATCTGTGTACTGGCGGGTGGATGGGGAAGCAGGAGTAAGGAGACCAGTTCAGGACCCTGGCAGGAAGGATATGAAGAAGGTCAGATCGGCCTTGAAATGCAGTCTAAAGGAGTTGGATGGGTGCCCCCAGGAAGAAAGGACCAAGGATGACTAAGAGGTATCTGGCCTGGGTGAGCTGGGTAAGGTGCTTTAGCTAGAATGATGGCGTCCTGATGGTCAAGTTGCTAGGATTAGAACCACAGAGGACAAACCTCTGGGTGTTTGTGAAGGCATTTCCAAAGCAGAGGGACGGCCTGCCTTCAGTGCCAGTTGTACTATCCCGTGGGCGGGGCCCAGACTAAATGAAGAGAAAGAGTTGGGACACTAGTATTCATCACTCTGTTTCCTAGCTGTGGAGACATTGTGACCTCAAGCTCCCTCCCTCCACCAAGCCATTCCCATCACGATGGACTGCACTCTAAGACTGTGAACCAGAATAACCACGTGTTTTGTGACAGCAACGGGACAAGTAACTAATTAGGCCGGGGTATGCTTGAGACACTCCACTCAACACTCAAAGTGACCACACAGGTAGCTGGCATGGAGGGCTGGAGCCCTAGGGATCTCAGCTGCAGACATTTCAGAGTCATCAGCACGTAGATGATACTCAAAGTGAATAGTAGAGAGACCCAGGCATACTGGCATTTCAGAGGGAAAAACTGGGAGGACTCGACAGAAACAAATAACCAGTGACATAGGAAGAACACTGGGCCAATGTGTAGTCCTACAACCCAAATGAGGAAGTGTCTCAACGTATTAAACACAGCCAAAGTCATGAAAGTCCGAGAGGTTAAAAATGGCTGGCAACAGCAAGAGGCTCGAGGGAGCAGGGCATGGGGGCACACGCCTGTAATCACAACAGCTGGGGCTTTAAGGTTCTACAAGGACGGAGTTCCACACAAGCCTGAACTATGCTGAGACCAGAAGGAGAGGATGGCAAGAAGGGAAATGGAGTCAGTCAAACAGGACAGGTAGAGGGGGGACAGCCAGAGATGGGGCACAGAAAAGGAATGTGGTGGTTTAAATGAGAACTGTTCCCATAGGTGTGGGCGTTTGAACTTGGTCCCTAGTTGGCGTCACTGCTTGGGAAGTTCCGGATCCTTTAGGAGGTGCAGCCTCGCAGGACAAAGTACACGAGAGGATGAGGAAGTGGCCTTGAGAGCATATAGCCTTGCTTGGGTTCAAGTTTGCCTTCTCCATCTTCTACATGTGAATAAAGGTACAATCTCTCACTGGGCAGTGGTGGCGCATGTCTTTAATCCCAGCACTCAGGAGGCAAAGACAGGAGGATTTGTGAGTTTGAGGCCAATCTGGTCTATAGAGTTCCAGGGCAGCCAGGGCAACAGAAAGACCTTGTCTTGAAAAACAAATGAAAAACAAGTTATGATCTCTCAGCTGCCATGCCTCCCCCATTATGGAGTCTCTCTCTGGAATCATAAGCTAAAGTAAACCCATTTTCCTTAAGCAGCCTCACTGTATTTTATCATAGCAACAAAAAAAATAACTAATAAATAGAATGAGAACACAGTGATCTGGTGACCCAAAGGAAAAAAGGGTAAGCTAATCACAAAAGAAAGCCCAGCTCAGACTAGTACCTAGAACCATAATAATGCAATCAATGACCAAGCTCCTGGGATGCTGGAGAGAAAGGGCAGTGTGTGAAGAAAGAGGGCTAATTCTTCACTGTCCACTGTGGGCAGTGAGCACAGAACACAGAAGTAAACAGCAACGGAATATTTAGAAGATATTTAAGGGGCAGGGCTAGAGAGATCGCTCAGCACTGGCTGCCCTTGTAGAGGACTCAGGCGCAGTTCCCAGCACTCACACGGCAGAGTTTACAACCCTGGAACTCCAGTCCCAGGTCATCTGATGCCCTTTTCTGACCTTTGTGGGCACCACACACATGTGGTGCACAAAGATGCATTTGATCTTTCAAATAAAATCTTTAAATAGATTCAGGAGCTGGGGAGCTGGTTCATTGAGCAAAAAACTTGCAACACGGGCATGAGGACCTGGGTTTGCACCCCCAAAACCCATGCAAAAGCAAAGTATGATGACACATGTCTGTTGGGGGTTGTTACACAGAGAAAGGCATATCCCAGAAACCTCCTGGCTAGTCTGTGTAGCCAAGTCCAAAAGCTTCAGGTTCAGTAAAGAGCAATAGAGGAAGAAACCTGATGTCATCCTCTGGGCCATACATACATATGCTTAGACTCACATACACAAAAACCAATCTATCAGCCTACTTTGCAATGTGGGACATTTCTTACCCACAAGAGGTTTTGTAATAGCATGCACTGATCATTTGGAAAATACTCGTTTTCTGTGTTCTTTACACTTTCTAAAAAGTGGTTCATTTAAAAAAGGCAGTATCAAAGTATTTTATGCTATACCCATTGATCAGTCAAGACGCTGTCAAGTGCAGTCATGGGTACATGTTTTCTAAAATCTTAATTTCCTCTTAAAATGCAACCCTCCTCACTGGTAAGACAGGGTTCAGTTTCTGTGGTAGATCACTGCCTATCCGTGACATTTACAAGCCCGACAAACCACAATTTTTCTATCAGTTGATCCATCAAGTAAAAATGATGTTTTGTGAAAAAATAGCCAGGTCAGTCCATACAACTCAATCATACACATTTCTAGAAACTTCTGAAGTGCTTGATGCAAACTTCCCACTTCATTACACACAATATTTGAAGAATGAGATGTAGAGAAGTTTATCATTATTAGTGCTTCAGAGATATTTAACAAAACTAATAATGGCCCATGCTAATAGGCCAGTAATCCCACTCATGACTAGTTTTGCTTCAGGAATATAAATATCAACCTATTTTGGGGTAAAGGCAAATAACATTTAGTAAAATTAGAAAACAGTTGACTTCATGGATCTTCCAAAAAGGACTCAGGAAAACTCCATGGTTCTGTTTTTACATGTTCAAGAAATTGTCTCATGCACAGACCATGTTGCAAAGCAGAAGAATGATGTGGAAATAACGGAAGTCAAATATTCTAGAGTAAGAGGGCCAACATCACAGTGGTTGCCCTCTGCGGAGTAGTGGTAAGTGGGGCTTATGTCTTTCAGAACAAGCCTTCAACTATTTGACCTTTTAGGGGCATGCATTAATTTGATAAAATCTGAAAAACAAAGAGCCAAATACACCAGAAGATAAGCCACTTGTTCCTTTTTCTCCGTCTCTGCCCAGCCAGCAGTTATGAAAACAGTAGAAATATAGAGGAGCCACAGAAAGAAAAACACCAGGAGAGCTTTCCTCAGTCTATGAAAATTTTACAAAACAGAAAGCCCCTCCAGAAAGTCAAAGATCCACTAAATCTTACCATAGCCATGCTAGGTTATCAGGCTGTATGTCACCCCACAATCCCTGCAAGACATAGAAGGCAGTCCATCTTCCCACCCAACACCCAAACAGAGAAGTGTCAGAAAGCAGAACCCTCTATTAGAGTGAAACATGTCCTTCACAAAATTCATGAGCACGCAGGAGAAAATATACCTGAAATGGGGAATTGTGTGCTAATGGAGATCTTGTAGCATTCTTTAGGCTTCGCTGCTGAGCAATGAAACGGATCAGGCAATTTGTTTCTGGAGAGCCCCGGACACCGACTGTAGACCGTCGCCTGGTCTTCTGAAGGGAAGATGACTTTCCTGCAATAAAATGCCCTCACACATCAGAAACATGGCAAAGGTCAGTAATTGTGTCCTGTGCTAGTGATGGGCCACCATGAGTGAGAAAATAGAGTAAACACATGTTACAGGAAACTAAAGAATTACTGGCAAAATAGCTCATGTATAAACAGTTAGATAGACTTTCACTTGACCACTGATTTAATTCACGTTTCTAGATCAGCACTTGGCACATAGAAGGCCATGAATACTCTTAGTTTTCATTTCTGCCCTATATCCCCAGTACATGGAGAGGGCAGAGGTAACAACTTGATGCTAAGAATCTTTTCTTTGTTTATAACATAAACCATGTACCTATACTAAACTGTACTATGGTTTCACCTACTGTGGTCATCCAAACTCTGAAAATATTGCATGGGAACAGGCTGAAGCAATTCACAGGTTTAAAACAACATGCTATTCCAAGCACCATAAAATCCACTGTCTAACAACATCTGGCCCAGGATATGCCTCATCCTTCTGAATGTAATACCTATGCCTTTTATGTTGCATACCTCAGGTCACTCACTGGCTGTCTGGGCTGTAAGACAGCCGAGGTTCGCAGCAGTAGCTGCACTCAAATAAACATTATTTCACTGTGGTTCGCTCCAGCCTCAAGAGCAGTAATGGCAGTAACTCAGCCACGCTAGAAGTGCTTCTTTTAAGTGACTGCTAGGTACGTAAGCAGAGAAAGAGCACTTTGTGATGGTTAAGCTTGAGTCTAAACTCAACTAGCTTGATCAGGGCATGTTTCCGAGAGCCTACTCATGGACCAGTAGGCCACATCTCTTACTGTGGCTAATTTATAAATTAAGCACAATCACTGGCATGCATGTACGCATAGCAAAAGTCAGTATCTATATGCTTTATTTATATCTTTGGTTCTAAAAATTTACTAGGGCTCATGGAAGACAGCCCCTATGTGGCTGGGGCCAGTGAGAGATTCCTGTATTCTGTCCTTTTTTTTTTTCAAAATAATTCTTTTACTTAACCTTCAGTATATCATCCTGAATTTTGCCCATGCACACAAAACTGAGTCTAGTCTCTTCGGCGATAATTCTGAACAACACAGAATGAATGCCACTTTGGCTTAGCCGAATTCAAGCCTTACAAAGTATGGTGTGATTGGCCCCTCCAGTGCCTCATTATCCTTCTTGATGATATCCTTCTTGTTGTTCTATTACTCAAAGAACTCCATTCCCATATTTCTTTCTCCATCTAGGTCAGATTTGACAGGTGAATTTTCTTCCTGAGGTTGAAGGAGATCAGCCTCTGGATCAATTTTCTGTTTGTGAGTTTTGAATGAGGTATACAACCCGTCAGTGTTATCCTTTCTTAACTGCCTTTCGACTTCCTCTTAGTTTCATATACGATGTTTTCTAGGGTGGCACAAAGAACGACTGACTTAGTTAGGAACACTGTGTTGGGAGTCCTAGAACCCCTTTGGTCCCTGCTGTCCATGGTGAGCTGTGATGAACACAGAAGTCTCCCCAAACAAGTCAGTCTGCAGGGTCAATATAAATATGCACAGCAAGAAAGTCAGTCAGTATAGACATGTACAATGGGGCCTACTACAGCTATTTTTAAAACTGAAAAAGTGCAATATGAGAACTTCTCTTACCTGAAGGGGTCTTAACAAAGCTTTCAGGTGTGATTCCCAACTGCTCTACAGTTACTGTGGAGAAGTCCAAAGGTGTCTTAACCGTACCGGGGGTGCAAAGATGAGGAGTCCCATCTTCTATATGCTTCTGAGGGGTCACAAGCTTTCCGGCTCCCAAGATAAAAGAGGCATTTTCTGAAAACGGACAACACGCTGCAGAGCTAAGCAACACAGTCAAGAAAAACACTCAAACTTCCATCTAACCGAGGCAACAGGTCACCAACATACCAGAATTATTAACGGCATACTCCTTGGATTCAGAGAGCGGCTCGTCGTGTGAACTTGTATCCATCTGGGGATGTAGGACTTAGAGAGAAACAAGAATAAAAAGTGAAAAATAATCCCACTATAGGTCAAAAAGCATGCGACGGAACTCTAACGAAATCTGTACTAGAGGAACATGGGTGGGGAGAGAATTCGGGGCGTTCTGGTTAAAGAGATGCTACTGACCTAACAAAGCAGACCAGTCGGTCCTTTTCATCCCTGGACCCCGGGCGGATAACAGACCTACCTCTTACACTCGAGGCCCGCGCCTCCCTCAGACGACGACGACAACGACGACAAGCGTCGCGCAGGCTCGGCTTCAGAAAGCACCAGAGGCCCGGGAGGAGAGCCGGCTTGGACTCCTGCTGGCCGCTGCACGCCTGGACACACCACGTCCGGGCGAAGCGAACTGTCCTCGCTACCCGCCAGCAAATTCAAACTGCGGCCACGCCCCCGCGGAGGGATCTTCCCGAGCCGTCGTCCGTGTGCGAGCGTGCGTCCCACGCTCCCTCCGGTCCTCACCGCCGCGCTCTCGGTCGCCGCGGGGAGACCTTCGTGTATCCCGGGGGAACCATGGCCGGTCCTGAATGATCCCCCGAGCGAGACACACCTGCGGCAAAATAATGTCCTGGGGACTACCTATGAGTCCCGCGGAGCAACACTTCAGTTAGCCGATAACTCCGCCCCTAACCTTTGGATTGGCCGCTGCAAACTTCGAAAATGAATCATTAGACCAATCGCGACATAACCGCAGGATGGCTAGTTTCCCTCATTAGCCAATCCCGACACCAGCCGTTACCTTGGTGGGTGGGAGGGTAGGAGGGGTTGAAGCAGAGCAAGGCGCTGACTGGTGTATGGGACTTCAATGTCCCGCCTCTTCCTTAGACTCCGCCTCATTATGCAAATGAGCGCTGCCTACCCTCCAGCGTACGCCTGCTCAGTAACGCTTAGAGCCGCCCTTTAACCAGGAGGTTCTGCTCTGATTCGCCGATACTCCTTTCCGTCAACCAGCCTTCAGCCTCTCTTTCCTCCCTCCGCCGACTGGCGTTAGTCTAAGCCCACCCCCTGGCGGAACTCTGATTGGCTGAATGCTGGCCGGCGCCGAGCGTTGATTGGCGTTGCTCGGTGTCGGTCTTGGCGCGGTTGGGGGAAGGGCCGCTAGCAGGCTAAGGAGCCTAGGGGCGGGGTGGGAAGGAGGATCGGCCAACCCCGGGGTGTGGGACTGAGAGTGCGTGCGTGAGGAGTGTGGGGCCGACCAGGAAGGTGGCGAAGGGCGGAGAGTCCGGGTGGGAGGCGGGAGGGGTCTCGCGGGCGCGGAGCGCGGCGGGTGGCGGGCCGGGGGCGAGGGTGGCGGCTCCCTCCGGACCCGGCGCGGGCGGCGCGATGCGGCGGGTCACGCTGTTCTTGAACGGCAGCCCAAGGAACGGCAAGGTAAGCGGCGGCGGCGGGGGCGCGACCTGGGGACGGACCCCTCGGTCCCCGACAGGTCCCGGCAGCCCGGCCACCGGAGCTCCGAGGCGCCGCTGTCACCTGAGCGGCGGGCCGAGGTCCCCTCCCACCTTCCCGCGGCGCCCTCCTGTCCTTATCCGTGCTGAGTAATGCTCAGCCCCGGGAGGAGGCAGAGATCACCGAGGCGGGTGACCCTGGCCAGGTCGGGAGAAGGGAAACTCCGGGGGACAGTTGAGTGACAACCTCAGAATGGGGACCTGGTCTGCAATGCTGCCCTCCTCTTTCAAGGGGCCTGGGGGGCCCCTGCCCTGACACTGTGCAAAACTTTTGTACACGGTTTATTGTGTCGCCTTGTTTTGGTCACTTCGAGGACGGTGACAGCAGACCAGAGTGACTTGATTTGACAGTAGCTTTTGCTGCATTTAGGCCTCCGTGGAGGGCGTGGTGCTAAATATTTTTCCGATGGTACAGCAGCCTCTTGCCCCACCCTTGAAAGTTATTTGGAAAATGTTGGCTGTTCCTGGCGGGCTGGTAATGTGTGGTTAAATGACCGCCCCACACATAAGTAAGCCTGTTTAAAGGCTCAGAAGTAATGAAGCCTTTTAAAGTTTCACTTCAAGGTACATTGGCCCCACTCCACTAATGGGCCAGAAAACTCTTAATTCCTACACGTATACATAGCAAAACTATTCAAAAGCATTAAGGGGAGAGGGGGAGTTTTTCGACTAGTCTGTAGTTTTGAATAAAGGGACTCTGGAAATCTGAACCACAGTGAGGTTTGTGCTCTGCAACTTTGTTTTCTTAAAATTTGCTATTCATACAGAAATAGTATTGGCATAAGCTCTACCAGGGCTTCAGAAATATGTGCCGCAAGCGAAGGCTCTTACCAGTTCTGATCGTGAACTTTTCCTCTACCAACTCTCGAGTTGGCTGGTTTTCATAAACTAAAGTCTGTGTGGTTACTGAGAGATTTAGTAGATCCAGTGTTAACAGTTGTATTGCTGTGCACTTCGACCAGTGCTGGCCTGTGCTGTGGTACTCCATGAAGTCCCAGTGTTTAGAGGCCCTTATGAATCCTCAACTCTAAATTTCTTCTGAATCCACTGCATTTTATTGTCCAAAAATTGAGTGAGTTGCTCTCTGTGTATTATTTAAATTTCTTAAAAACCTTCTAAAAAGTTTTAAACTTTGTGTTTGACTGTGAGTTTCCAATTTAAATCTTATTTACTTAAAATATCTTGAAATTTCAGAAGATTGGGGAAAGTGCATCTCAAATAATGGTGCATGCATATGCTTTAAACAAAGATGGTAAAGGCTGAAGTGAAGAATACTGACATTTAATATTTCAAAGAAACTATTGCCCTAAGTCCTTCCTACTAAGCTACAGAACATAGGTTCTGAAGCTGTTTCCTCTCCTTTCGGTTGGTGGAAAAATATATTCTTATTTTGTGTTCACTGGTGTTTTGCCTGCATGTCTATCTGTGTGAGAGTGTCAGAATCCCTAGAACTGGGGTTTCAGACAGTTGTGAACTGCCATGTGGGTCCTGGGAATAGAACCCAGGTCCTCTGGAAGAATAGTCAGTGCTCTTAACTGCTGAGCCATCTCTCCAGCCCCCTGAAATGACTCTTATTTGACAAGATCACAATACTGCCTGTGTATATATATGGATGGATATGTTGTATATACATAGCAACTATATTTAATCAGGGGTGTCGTAAACATGGCGTGGATGCTCATTAAAATATTCCCAAATGAAGTGCTACCCTGAAATAGTTTGGTTTCTTGTCTGTAAAGTAGATATATCATTTTGATTGCCTCCTTACTTACCTGGTTTCTATTTTTAATCCCTTAGTCATGAGAATAATCTTTTTTCTGAATGAGTTTCCCTCTTAGAGCTTGCCTTGTGGCTATGGGCTGGGAAGTAGAAAGGCACGGATCTCATCACCGTGCATCAGGGTATCAATGTGCATTTTCTGTTTGAGTAACTGATAAGTGCTCTTAATGTTGATGAAAGAGCTGGTTTCTCCTAAGTGAAATGAAATACCATGGAGGGTACAAGGTGACCCCTTGGGATTTAGGAAGGAATGTATATTATTTTTGCTTTTATTTAAAAACAAAATAACTTTAAAATGTGGCTTTTCTAATGTGGAAAGGCATGCGGGCCTTAGTCACTGAACTTGTCGAGCTGGTCTTGTTTTCCGGGAACAGAGGCCTGCACATGTGAGTAGGTTGAGAGCCAGCACCGGTCGGTTCTCTTTGCCATGGTACATAGACGCCTCTAAGTACATTGGAGACTTAAATCATTCCGTCTTCACTGAGTAAGCCATCAACTATGTGAGTGACTTTACAAGATTACCTCAAAGAAACTGCAGATTGAAGCCAGTGTTAATTATGCAAGCACAGTAAACACTGAGAAAGTGGCAAAGCTGACTGCTTTACGTGGCATTAGCTGCAAAGTTAAAATAATAATAATAATAATAGCAACAACAATAATAAAAGGATCTCAGAAGCCGAAGAGTGCCATGTTTTAAGAAAATTATTTGAAGTTTCCCTTAATCATTGCTATTAATGGCCAGCTTCTTCTTTGGGTTATGGTTCTTTGACTGATTATCCTGTGGTATGATGAGGTCATTTTAATTACTAAGACTTGAAAAAATGTATTTTCCTGTACATGCCGGCAAATGGTCTTGGGGATTTTTTTTTTTTTTTTTTTACTTTGTCTTAGTTTTTAAAAACTTTTAGAGGTTGCCGGGCAGCCATGGCACACACCTTTAATCCCAGCACTCGGGAAGCAGAGCCAGGTGATCCCTGTGAGTTCGAGGCCAGGAGGTTAAAAGCATTGCAGAAGCAGCTTGTGTGATGAGCAGAGTTGGGATCCTGAGAAGCAGATGTTAGGTGGATAGGTAGTCCACCAGGACTTCCAGCCCCTGAAGGAAGGATGAGGGCTCTCAGGAGGAAGCTGGCTAGCTTGGCTACCCATGGTGCCAAACTCAAGGATCAGTTGAGAGACCCTGCCTCAGTGAATAGGTGAAGAACACGGGGAAAAAGACTCCTCAAGTCACCCTCGGGCCTCAACATGCATGTGCACACAGGTGCCTACACACCTGAACACATACAGGTGCTGACACACCTGAACACACACACACATGAAAAAGAATAAAAACCTTTATTGTTTGAAGGCAACCTTATATTTAGCAGAATCTCACTAAAATTAATGATAAGTATTTAAAAGGTCCCTGCTGGCCAGTTTGTCATCTGAGTAAATAAAAATCATATCATTTAGAAAAACATCCCTGACAGTGGCACACTGTTTATAATTAAATAAATACACAACTGATTGAGCACGAGCCCAGAACTGTTCTACTGATGGGCTTTGAGAACTACACTCCCCAAACATTGACTCATTTGAGTCATAGGGAGGAGGGGGCTGTTATTGGCTCCAGAAAGGTCAGCTGTGCCTACACCGTCCATCTTTGCTCCATATGCTTCCCCATTTCCTTTGATCTCTTTACTATTTATTCCCTGTAAAGGGTAGTATTAAGAACATGAAATGGATTCTGACATCTAAATAAGACATGTGGCCTGAGCAACCCTGTATTAGTACCACCAGTAACGAGTTGGGCAGATCATTGGCTTTTTGTAAACAGCATTCATTCGTTCAGCTACCACTTACCTAGTACTGTTTGAGTGTGGCCCTCCATGCCAAATGCAGCAGCTACAGGAAATAACCTGTATTCTGTACTGACGTTTGCATTCTTAGTCCAAGAAAGAGCTTCCCTTCTTCTATCTTTGATATCAAGTCAGATATGTGTGGTTGGTATCATATACTCAAACTGCAACTCATTACATTGTTAGAGGTAAAAATCTGACTCTTGGAATCCAAACCTCAGTAAGAGCTTGGCATCCTTTGTTTGTTTGTTTTTTCAAGACAGGGT